ATAATTCTTAGGGCTTAATCAGCCAGATGAAATAGGCATAAAGGATAATTAGAGTCGGTACACACTGACACGTGTGGTCTTATGAGCATCCAAGCAAGATTACTCACGTTTTGGATAAGTTTATCTGATGCAACACAAGTCTTAAACTCTTGGTATATTCTGAGAAGGTCAAGACTAATGTGGAGCACATATTAGATAAACTTATCAAGACATTTCGATCTGATCGAGGATATGAGTATTTCTTGGGATAGTGCAAAGACTATATGGTCAATGAGGGTGTTGTGTACCAGTTTTCCGCAATTGACACTAAATGCATTTAGGTGTCAAATAGGAATAACAGAATTCCACTTAACATGGTTAGATCTATGATCAGTTATGCCACATTATCTCTTTCATTTAAGAGTTTAACGTTAATGACATCGATGCGCATTATGAACTGCATTCCATCTTATTCTGTCTCAAGGATACCGTTGAGCTGTGTTTTTGACTAAATCTTAGTTTGAATCACATGCGCATATGGGGTAGTCTTGCACATGTACGCTTGATATGGACAAGTAAGTTGGAAACAGATCATACGCATGATCGATTTGATAGCTACTCTAAAAGTCACTAGGACGAATTATTTTATGATATCAATGATAAAAGTTGATTATTACACTCACTGTTTATCTATAGGAGAATCATATTATGAATCACATACCTAGTAGCATAGTGTTAGAGAATATGGTATGAGTACCAGATGTACCACATATGAACACACTTAGTATAGAGATTTAGAATTATAGATGAATTCCCTATTGATGCGTCAGCATCGTCTAGTACACAGATTCCTTCATCGGTACATTGATGTAGTGGGAGGATAATTATCTAATCCGACAGAATCATGTTTTTAGGTGAGACCGTTATGGACATCCCTGTTAAACATGAGTTGGACCCAGTAAGCTACACGGAAGCGTGAACCGATATAGACACAGATCGTTTTAGCGAGTTACTATGAAATCAGAGTTAGAATCTATGTATTCTAATAAATTCTGGGATCTTGTAGAACTTTCTTGTAGGATGATTCCTATGGAAGGCAAGTTAATCTACAAAAAGATACCAGAATATTTCTTAGTGAATAAATCATGAGTGTACAAGGGAATGTCATTATTTTTCTGATTCTATATATATTGATGACATCCTACTCATATAGAATGATGTGGAAGGTTTGTCATTAATAAAGAGGTAATTGTTCAATTACTTTTAAATGAAGGATTTTTCAAGATGTAAGCTATATTCCTAGGATCAAGCTTTTGCAAGATCGGGTTAAAAGGAAAATAGGCTTATCTTAATAATCCTACATTGATAAAGTTTTGACCAGGTTTGTTATGTATAACTCAAAGAATGAGTTCTTGCTTTATTAATATGGATTGCTCTCTCTAGTAAATAGTTTTCCAAGACTAGCAGAGGAGATTGAGCAAATGAGACTGGAACTATATGCTTTGGCATATGGGAGTCTCATATATGCCATGGTCTATACCAAACAGGACATCCGCTACATAGTAGGGATAGTCAGTAGATATCAGTCCAATTCTGGACTTGATAACTGGTTTGTTGTGAAAAATATCATTAAGTACCTAAGGAGAACCAATGATATCATACTCATTTATGGATGTAATGATATGGTTCTAGTCAGGTATGCTGATTCTGATTTTCAATCAGAAGTAGATACTATGAGGTTCATGACTTAGTGTATGTTCACTTAATGAAAGGGAAATCAGTTGGTAGATTGTTAAGCAGATTTCAACTGCTGACTCAAACCTGCAGGTGGAATATATTGCAGCCTTAAAGGCTGCAAAGGAAGCCTATTGGTTTGATCTCACTGATTCAGAGGTTGTGGAGCATACTAGCTTGCCTATCGAGCTATATTGCGACAATAGTGTAGAAGTAGTCCAAACCAATGACCCAAGGTTCTATAGAGGAACAAGATACACTGAGAGGAAGTATCATGTTCTACATGATATTGTCCGGCAAGAAAATGTACTTGTAACTAGAACATTGCATTGGAACACAACTTTGTTGATCCATTATCAAAGGTGTCATTGATCAATAATTTTGATCATCATCTGGATAACATTGGAGTTAGGTGCAATTTGAATTGGCTATGAGGGCAAGTGGGAGCTGTTGGGATTTATATACACTGGCATAGCAAATTCCTGTTTGGATTAAAGTGGCATATGTTCCTAACGTTTCTGAAATATTTATGTTTTATACAATTGGTGAATTCAATGTATTATATTTCGATTCATTATAGAATTGATAGTGTCCATTTGATTACAAGAGATATTTATATATATGTATATGATGGCAATCAATGTATGATATATAAATAGTAATCATAAATGGTTCATAGTCGGTAATTATGGATGGACTCATAATTAATTAAGATTTGAACTGGATCCGCGTTAGGTTGAGATATATTGCGAGAGCCGTCGTATGCAATTGCTCCCTATCACCGTCATGGCATTTGACTCGTAAGCATGAGAAAATTATAGACTCTTTTATTAATTAATAATTACTTTGATTTGTTCGGCGGATTCTTCGGGATCCTTAGACCGACACTTTGGTTAGTTATGTAATTAATAGTTAGAGGGTTATATTTTCAATTTTTGCATCATTGTTACTTGTATTTATTTTGTATTGATCATGGTTGATCACAAAGTAAATTCGAAGGCCTTCGTATGTTTTTAGACAAAATGATTTATTATATATTTATTTATTTAAATTATTATTTTTGTCAAACAAATATTTTATTGTGATCGAGCCAGAAATAATCAATAGTACCAAAATAAATATATTAATTAAGTAGTCGGATTGATGGCTTTATTTATCCGATAACAAATTATGCATAGAGGGGTCAAAGTGCAATATTGACTTAGAGGTTATTTATTATTTAATTGGAGTTCAATTAATTTCTTTTAGTGGAGTAGAAATTAATTTATGAATTAATTGAATTGGGTCCATGGACCGGGCCAATTATTAATTCATTGTAGCCAATAAAATAATAGGCCCAATGGATTCTCACTCATAGCCCAACTTGATATTGGAATCAAATTAGATTTGAGACATGTGAATTAGAGATTGAAAAGGATTTATTGTTTCCTTTTCTTTATTTTTATGTTGCCTATAAATATATATGGTCTATGTATATTTAGGGAGATTTTTTTAAGAAGGAAAAAGGAATAAATTTTCTCTCTAAAAAATTAGGGTTAGTGTTCTCATCTAATGGAGGCTCCCACAAGCCTAGTTTTCCAAGGTCATTCATGAAGGTTTATGAGTGATTCCTAAAGGTAAGACCATTACCAAGAAGATGGAGATCCATAGAAAAAGTGTCTAGCAAAAGGGATCTACAATAAGTGAGAACATTCACTTTAGAGGAGAGATCTAAGTTTTACTCAAATCTTGATGTAAGTATTCAATCTTTTAATTGAATGATACATCATGTTTTATTTTTGCATAAAACTTGTCTCTATATAATGAATCAAGATTTATGAATTAAAATCCCTCGAAAAGTTTTTAAAATTAGCACGTTTCCCAACAACTTGAACCCCAAGGAGTTTGACTAGTTAGAAAATACTTGGGCCTGGTACCTCATAAATGTTAGGTCTCAGGATCGATTTCTACTAAGTACAAACAATTTCTTGGAGGGGAGTGCGTAAATATCAACTAAGAAAAAAAAAATATATTAATAATTTTGTCACTTAGCCAATCATATTTAAGCTGGTGACCAATATCAAGGAAATTTTATAAGGGAGATTTTATATATATTGCTTGTAGTCTTGATAACCATTGGATTCTCTCTCCCCCTAACAATTGTGGTGTTATGCCTCTTAAACTACTCCAAATACATATAATCCCTTCGTTTTATATACACCAATCTATAAAGGTAATATTAAAAGGATTCGAACTTTTGATTTGACTTTTAATATATGAGATAAAAGTCTTACCATTAAGTTATCCTCTTATAATATTTTTAATTTTCGTATTGAGATTTTCTTATTTTGTGAGAGAGTATTTAATAATTAGAAGATGAAAAAGGAAATTTCAAATTTGATGGCACCCTGAATGCTCGGTTGTCTCAATGGCCGGGGGCCGTGGCTATTTAATTATTAGACTTGTTGGTTGTCATATTGTAACAATACTCCACAGAAAAACATTATTTGCTGACTTCGGGTATTCTGAACTTCTCTGACACCCCGACTACTCGATTGTCTCTCTAAGTGTGACATAATGGCTGAGGGCCACAGTTATTTGAGACATATGACTAGTTGGTTGTCATCGATTGTAACAGTACTCCATCTAAAAACATTATTTGTAGACTTTCTCTTCCCATTACCTATTTTGGGCTTTGAATGAAAATGACCAAAATGCCATCATTGAAAATTCTGTCACCACTAGTACCTACCTATGCATAAATTTACAAAATTTAGTATTGGACGGAAAGTAATCGCGGGCACAAACCGAAATCGTCTAAAGAAGGTAATACCGTGGCCAATCCCTTGATCATTATGCCTTTTCAAGTATTCCAAAATCCATTACTAAGTACATGCAACCCCTTTGTTTTACACATCAATCTGTAGAGGTGATTTTTAAATATTCGAACTTGTAACCTCCAAAATGTAAAATAAGAGTCATACCATTAGATTACCCCCTTATAATTTTTTTCAATTTCTTATTGAAAATTTCTTATTTTTTAAGAGAGAATTTAATTATTAGGAGATAAAAAATAAAAAATTTCAAATTAACGACAACATGACTACTCTATGTCTCACATAGGTATTTCTCAATAATTGAAAGTTATTTTGAAACACATGACTAGTTGGATGTCATCCTAGCAATACACCATAGAAAAACACTCTTAATCTGTAGAGTTTCTCTTCCCATTACCAATTTTGGGCTTTGAATGAAAACGACAAAAATGCCATTATTGAAATTTTTGTCACTAGTACCTATGCATAAATTTACAAAATTTCGTGCTGAACGAAAAGTAGTCGCCGGCCCAAACCGAGATTGTCTAAAGACGGTAAGACCGTGGCCAGTCCCTTGATCATGGTTTGGCCATTGTTGGTGAGCTCCATCGGCGTCTTCAACATCTCCTGCATTTTCTCTCCAGTATCACCAGCAATGTTCTTGAAACCATTCAAGCAAGCCTGTTGGTTCTTGACAGCACCACCAATCCATCTCTTGAAGTCTTTATAAAAGGTAATCAATTTTCCAAACTCTACAGTGTCAAGCTTATCTGCACACTTCTTGAGATCACCATTCGAGTTGTTTAGAAGATTATTACAGGCCTTTAAAGCTTCAATAGTTTTAGGGTCATTTCCTGCAGCCTTTTGAAGAATACTGGTGTTCTTTATCGCGACATCCATGTCCTTTATGGCTTCATGGAATGCAAGCTTGATGAGCTCTCTCGGGTCACTGGTCTTCCCGGCCACCTGAGAAAGAGCATTTTCACAAGCGTCCATGTGTTGGCAGATGCCCTCAACGAGCTTCTTGGACTTCTTAGCATGAGTTTTCTTGGGCCTGGTGGCAACAATTATGGCAATAATAACGATTAACACTAGGACGACAATAGCCACAATGATGGCAATCTTCTTTTTCTTACTGTATTGATCAAACATTTTGAACCAAAACAATTTATGTTATCTATACACCAAGGAAAAAAATGAAACACAGTATGACTTTGTGTATATATATATGTATGTGCGTGTATATATATATATATATGTTTTTTCTCTTACTGTATTCTTGTTTTCCCTTGATGAGAGAATGAGGAACCCCACAGAGGTCTTGGAGTCTCCCTGCTGTTTTACAATTTTTAAGCCCTTTTGCTGACTGATTTTTAACTTGTGTCTATTTTAGGGAAGAGAGAGTCAAAGGCAGACAAATCAAAGGACATAGTCAATTCGCTAATGTGAGGCAGGAAGTCTAGACACGAGAGGGACTTGTTTGTAGTTACCAAATTTGGAAGTCCGATATTCACTCTTAATCATTCTTAATTTCTAGTTAAAAGACCTCTAGTTTGATTAACTACCATTCAATTTTAAAAACAGCAAATATAAAAGTATTGCAAATAAACACATTATTCATTTTGAAAAAAAGAAAGAAATAAATTTACCCACTCAAATTACGATTAGAATTTAATGGCTAATGCTAATCAATTTATGTGCATTTTTTTATAACAAACTTAATTAGCATGTGATCCAGAAGGAGTATTCAGATTTTATAGAAAGGAAAAGAAGAAAAAACAAAAAACTAGAATGAGAACTATGTAATGCCAGCTCACCTATTCAGCCCTTAAATCAATATGCCGTTAAATTGATATGAAAATGTGATACATAATGTCTCCTTTTAATTTATGAACTATTTGATAGTTGTATATTGAACCAATTATACATTTTTTTTAATACTTTTGGGTGATGTAGGACACTTTTATCTTGCTTAATAATTTTTTATTTTAAGTTTTTTACTTATTTTGTTTTTTATAATTTTTTTAAAGGAAATTTTATTTTAAACAATTATCAATATAATATTAAATTTTCTCTAAATTTTACGAATTTAAAGTTATTTACTTCTTTTTTGTGAGCATTTTCGCTCCGTCATAATTGATGTGAAAATAAAAAGATAATTAATTAAAAGAGAGACTAATTAATGGCAAATTAATCAAAGGAAAAAATAAATGTGAATATGCTGAATAGCTATCTCAATAATTGACACAATCATTGAGCTTCGTGAAGCAAACGTTTTCGAACGTATGAAATTAAAGCCATATAAAATAAATACATATTTTTAATCATCTGAAATCAAGTGCAAGATTTACATGTGAAATATCAATTTGTATTTTGGTTAATTTCATTATTAAAATAAGTCCAATCAAATTGTAAATTTTTTATTTGATTTGTCAAGACTCAAGATTGGAAGCGGATCGAATTGAAGAAGTTCTAGTGTTCATACTTAGATGCACTCTAAGATTATGAGAACAATGTTTTATGAAGGTAAGAGAGTATGTGAGGACACTAAGGAGATTCAGAATTAGGTATTTAGAAGATTTTACATTCTGCCAAACTTGAACTGGTTCAAGTTTTCGTGGAACAGGTTCAAATTTTGGTTAAATCCTCGATATTCAAGTCTATCCAACTTAAATCGTTTCAAGTCACTCTTGAACCGGTTCAAGTGTAAAGATGAAATTAAATTTTAGCTTCTAGCCTACTTAAACCGGTTCAAGTCCCTCATACCAATATGGTTTACTTGTTTCCCTGGTCTGTTTTGGCTTTCTATTTTGGACAGACTTTTGTTATATTAAGCATACACCAAGTTGACTTGGTTTTCAAGTATTTTTAAGTCTTCCAAACTTCTATAAAATCTCGCTTTTATTCAAAATTAAATACGATTTTTTGGAACAAAAATTCAAATATTTTGAGAGAGCCTTTGAGAGAGATTTTTTAGAAAAACAAGCTTGATTTTTCTGATTTTGTTTTGAGAGCACACACATAAACATAAGAGTGATTTAAAAGTGTTGTTCGATCTCTATCCCATCGGAATTGGAACATAATTAAAGATTTATAAATTTAGAGAAGCGAGATTTATCTATCTTCACATAAAATTCAGATTTGAAGAAGAAGATTTTCTGATCACATTTTGAAGGGGTCAAGGCACTTGCGAAGTGTTGTTGATCTACCAGCAATCCTTTTACAAGGTTTGAGGCATAAGTCTGAAGTCAAGAGCTGTTGGACGGGAGGTCGTAAAGCCAAAGGAGTTCAGCGGATTGGATCTTCGTAGAGTGAAGGGGTGTGAGCCTGAGTCAAAGTTCGGTGTACTTTACTTCATACATAGTGGATTGTTTACACTCAGAACAACGCAAAAATCCTCGAGGTTTTCTAATTGATTTTCTCGCTAAAATCCTGGTGTTATCTCTCTAACTTTGCTTTACTTTTTAGTATTTATTTTTGTGGTTTTGGATGTTTAATTGAACACATTTGTGAGTAAATCAATCAATCACAAAAATTGGGCAAGTTAACCTAATCATCTCATCTAGGTCATTTGGAGAGTTAATCATAATTAATCAACTGACACATTCCGCACTGCGTAACTCACAATTGACATCAGAACGGGTTACTCGATATATTGAGTAGATCATATTTGTTGATTTGTTGTGATTTCTGCATCATGTCTGAAAATTTATCTTTTGTTGATGTTGTGCATTTACCTTCTATTTTTGATATTGTCACAAGCATGTATGTTGATGGGTTTAACTTTAAAATGGATTTTGAAAATTTGTTGGAGAAATTGAAACTTACAGAATTTGATAGAGATATTTATAAGTTAGAAGTTTCTAAAATGATATAGATTATCAAAGTTATCAACTTGAAATCTAAAATGAAACAATTAAATGATACAATTTAACATTATTGAAACATCTAATACACCGCAACAAGATATACATTATCAAAGTTATCAACTTGAAATCTAAAATGCGAAATCAAACAAATGTGGAAATACCTAGTCATCACGTCGGATTAAACTGAACAATAATAGCTATTTTGGGTTACTAGCCCGTCGGGAACTATCCTAGTGCGCACGTGTGGGGAGAGCTAATCTCCCGCCCTAGAGCCATACTCTAGTCATATTCGAAATAACGACATCCCAAGTTTCCAAAATCAATAAGTTGAGCAACAACGTATATACCAACATATATATACTAGGTAATAAGCTATCTACCATGCACAAACCAATTTTGGAAACACACGATGCATACTCTAAGTCCACAACTACAATGGCATAGAAAATGTCGAATCTTCAATGTGCGATTCGTTACACTTGCAATAACATCACATGTCGAATCTGTTACTCAAGAATTGACTCTAGAGAGGGGGTGAATAGAGTCAATGGCCAATTTTTGTAAATTATAGATATACAATTTCTAATCAATAATATAACCTATTGTGCAATAATCAACATATGAAATCAAGATATGAAAGTAAACAATTTATAGCACAATTGTAAAAGAGATAAGGGAAGAGAAATTGCAAACTATAACACGGCGATTTTTGCGAGGTTCGGAAACTCTTACTCCTCGGCTCAAGATCCCTCTTGAGACTTCCCAATCCAATATAACTTCTCCTTATGGGTGGAGAGCAAACCTTGATTAGAAGTAACTTCTTGCTAAGAGAAAACCTCTCTTAGTCTTCCTTTAGGTCACACCAACCCTTACAATATCCTTACTAAGAGACCACCCTCTTAGTTTTACATAGGCCACACCAGCCCTTACAATTTCTTTGCTAAGAGAAACTCTTCCTCTTAGGCTTATAGCAGATTTGTAAATAGAATTTGTAGTACAAGAAATCCTCTCAAGAACTGATACAAATCAAACCTCACAATAGAGTATATATGAAATCAAGTGAAGCTCAAACTCTAAGTATGAAATATATAAGAGATGATGAGGAAAATGCAGAACAAAAGCTCTGATGAAATACTAGAATAAAAGTTCAGCAAAGGCTCACGAAATGCTCTCTGAAGTTCACTCTGATTCAGCTATGGAAGCTTGTATATGAGATGAAGATCGATGTCTGAACAGAGACTATATGAGTGAGTAAAACCAGAACAAAAGCTCTGTATAATGGAAGAGCCAAAAGCTCTCTTTGATGCACTTGAATGAATGTTCTTGAATACTCTCACAAGTAGTATAACAGAGCAAAAACTCTATGAAGATTAAAACAAGAGCAAAAGCCCTTTTAATCTCTATTGGAATCTCTCAAGATGGAATAAGAGTGAATGAGAGAGATGAAGAGAAGATCAGAACAAAAGCTCTCTTTTCAATGTAATATAATGTCTCTTAAAATGGTGTTAATTTGTTAGCAGACAACCCCTCTGTATATATATATAAAATCGCAGCTCAATATAGCTGTTAGAAGTGGTTGGAAGAATTAAATGCAGAAAAATTGCCGTTGTAATTCAAAACCCTCAAAGGAGCTGGCTCTTTGCAAAAGTGGAGGTGGCTCAATTTCAAATGGAGGCGGCTCCATTAAAAAAGTGGAGCAGGCTATTTTCTGAAGGATTGTTCTACGAGCCAAGAAATGCTACTGGAGTGAAAGGAGTAGGCTCATTATTTTTGAGTGGAAGCGGCTCTTTTTCAAATGGAGGCAGCTCCAAAAAAATAAAGCAGGCTCATTTCTGAATGGAGGCGGCTCCATTAAAAGAATGGAGCAGGCTCCTTTTTTTGAATGGAGGTGGCTCCATTTGCCTTGAGAGAGCTGGCTCTATTTACATGAAGGCTGCTTTAGGATTGGATAGAAAAGAGTGTATGACTTCAAATGGACATAACTTAGTCCATGAAACTCCAAATGAGGTGAAATTTAAGTCTAAATTTATTGCCTTGAAGTCAGCTTTCTAATCCAACTAGCCTTACTCAAAAATTCCAACCACAAAAGTAGTTATGGCCGTTTTAGTGCAACCTGGTCAGAAACTTCGCATACTAGAATCATGTATTTTGTGAAGCTCATATCTTAGTCCTTTTAAATCCAATTTAGGTAAAATTTGAGTCTAAACTCAAGGGCTCGAAGTCATCTTTCTAATGCCACTGGCCTTACATAAAAATTCAAACTACACAAATAGTTATAGCATT